CTCTCTCTCCCTCCCTTCCTTCCTCCCTCTTTCTCTCTCTCTCCTTTGAACGCACTACGGGACGGTAGTTCCTACAATTATGAAAGACAGCGATACTCCTTTTAGCGTTTATGGAATTAGTATGCGTCCAGAGACATGTCGCCGCTTGATTGTGAATGAGTAGCGAGAAGCCTCCTCCACCGTCCCGGGTAACTTCCTCGTTGTTTCTCGATCTACAGACTCGCGGCTAGATAGGAAATGTTTTTTTGCGGTCCCGTGAACCGCAGAAGTCAATGAGAAATTCAATACCACTTCCACACACCATAGTACAAAAAATTGCCGGCACTGGATAGGCGCTTAGCGACGAAGGACATTAGCTTCTAATTTTGTTAAAAGTCGAGCAAAGTGATAACCGTGTACGTAATTCGATTTTAAGACAAGCCTTTACCGCGTTCCGCGCCGAAGAAGCTTTAAGCTATCGTAAGCTTAACGATGATCGTACTATGATCGAGAGGGTTTACACGAAATCTGATCGTGTCGTCGTGTTTTTGTAAGCGAGATCGGCGTGACGAAAAACAAAGAGCGTTCGTTCGTGTGCTTCTGTAGCGAGCTACGACGAACAAAAGAGAAAACAAAAAGCGACGAAAGAATGAAGATACACGAGGCTAATCATGGTAAACGAGAAACTACCACGAATTATAATTATGTAAAAAAAATTGTAAAAAGAAATTTATTGATTATGTAATTGTCCATTTAGGTATATTTATGTAAAGTTATTTGAACCAACGGAAAAAACGATAAAACTTTCAGTCATCATTAGTAATAAACGCGGAGAGAGTGATGACTTGCTCAGATAGTATCCAGTGTAGGTCATTTTTTCTACAGGGAAATAAAGCAGTGGAGCCATGTTAGCTGAGCTGTTTCATCGTCAATTGAATTTACAACTAGGAATACGAATAGAGGATTTCGTACTGCCTGTTTCACGTGTAAATGATTTCATCGTAGATTTCATATTATTCGCAGAAATTCGTATGCGGCAGCTTATATAATTCATCTTTGAACAGTATATAATTGAACGAAAAGAAAGAATTTAGAATGTTCTTTTGAACGGCTCTTTACTTTTCACGATAGCTTATTTAATCTTGCATCGTATCTGCTATTCGTATTTAATTTGAAATGATGGGATGAAAATCTTTATTGTCGATGGATGACAGCTATCCAACGATGATGCTTAACTGTGAACAAATCTTTAACGTTGATAGATTCAATCACAGTTTGCAGATCGTTTACCCACAGCCAATGTTACAATCTCGACGAATCTAAGAAACACTGTGATCAGTATATAACCTAATTTTCACGGATGAAATAGTTCAAGTATTCGAGTTTCGCTGCAGCTTCATCACTATGCATTCATTTATGTAAATATGATAGAAGTCGTCGTACTGAATCAAGTATGACAAGATGTTTTTTCTGTAAGGTATACGCTTTAATATCTTCCTTGTGTTTGTAATGTATAGACCAGTGTCTCGTAATATCTTTACAAAAAAATATAGTTTATATCTTTTATATATGTATGTATATATGTATCTGTATGCATATATGTATATGTATATACATGTATGTATATATATATATTTATATACCTTTATTGTTGTGAACTGATTGTAAAATGTGTATAATGTATAAAAAATTGTATTTGAACTATACAATATTTGTTTTGAAAAAGATATTGTGTTTGTCTGAAGAGTATGCAAATTTCGGAACACTGGTCTCGACTATTATGAAAATACTATTATGTTAAAACTCATTATTATATTATGTTATTATTATTGTTTATTTGACTATCAATAATAATAAATAATGTTCATGTACATAATTTTGAAAAAATGATCTAAATAAAACATTAATAATGGTGCTTTCACAGACTTTCATATATAATTTTATCTAACTCTCATTCACGCCCTTATTGTTTTTCATACTTACAGAAAAATTTGCTTGTAAAGTTTATTATAAATTTGTTATATACAGATGATACAGTACTCGTTGTGCTAATAAGTACAAATATAAGTGATATAATTTATATGTTATATAATTACCTAAATTATGGAACAGAGACTATACAGCAATGGATTGTGTTATGATAATGGTAACTCATTATTATCACTTTTTCATTACAAAATGTTTTAAAGGACTAGTCATTCCATAAAATATTAATATACATTATGCATCTTTATATGCAACACTGTTTGTTACATTTGTGTCAGCTGCATAGAAAATATATTTACAATGTATCTAGTGTACAGGATGTTCATGTTATTATTACCTGTAGTGAAAGTGTTTCACTACTATCTCGGTAATGGACATATAAAGCTACAAATTTTATCAATTTTAAAGTGTTACACACATTTTAATTGCAATACTTTTTTATACACAAATATAGCTGTTGCTTTTTGTAAAGTGTATTACATGAAGAATGATAACACGAACATCCTATATGATATTTGAGAAAAATTGGAAACTTCATTTACTGAAAATTTTATGCTTCCACACCTCTACCTAAACCAGACCATCTGTCTGGTACTGGCAAGAAATATCGATGCATAGCTGCTATGAAACGAGCTCGATATTCTTCAGGTGATATTATTGTTGGCAACTTTCCTTGACCGCCTAATATACCTGACTTTTTCACCATTGTTTCTAATTTTTTGTCC